GTTTTTGAGGTTGAGGATGACTTTTTTTTGTGAGAAGACCGAGGCCAAGAAGGCATTAAGTAGTTCTACCTTTTCCCTATCCCCTGTCAGCATTTCCCCATCTTTTCCTTGAAGAGGCCCTATCGCCTCCTTGTTCCTCCTTTTTCTACCAAAGTTAGCAAAGAATCCCTTTTTATTGTTTTTAATGTCCCTGGCAAGCCTGAGCTCATTTTGTGCTTTAGCCTTGCAAACCTTTTTCCTACAGGAGTTGGTTATTCATTTGAATTCTTCTTTGGTGATTTCTCCTCTTTTCCACTTCTTGTGCATGTCTCTTTTGAGTCTTAGCCAAGTTAGAAGTTCTTTGGACATCTATTCTGGTTTCTTTGCACTTGTCTTATTTTTTCTCTTTGTTGGCACTGTTTGAGTATTTCACTCTTGAAAAGCTCCCATCCATCTATAACTCCCCTGTCTTTTAGTATCAGTGTCTATGGAATGCTGCTCAATATTTCCTTCATTTTCCTAAATTCCAGATTGTGGGTTTGACTTGCCTTAGTTTTGATTGGACAAACTTCAGAAATGAGAGCTGGTTAAATTTAGAAGGCCATGATCTATGTTTTGGATGGCATCAGAAGGCAAAAGCACATGCAAAATTTAATAATCATTTTACAAGGCGAGCCATACTAAGGATATGGAACAAGTACAAGATTAAATTATGTCTAAAACCTCACTATCAATTTCAATGGAAGTAACATTTTACAAAGGAGATAAGGAGGAAGAAGATCAATAGAGATTTAATAGTATATTAAGATGATAAATACAGAATTAAAACTCAAGATGAATTAATAGATGCAGGACTTCACCTACAGTCATACAGATATTGGCAACTGAAAGAAAGATTTACATTTGAATGTAAAAATATTGGATTCAAAAGAGAACAATCAGAATTGGAAAAGGACTTATGTAGTAATGAAGAACACCTCATTGAAAATATATATAAAGTATTACTGATGATGGAAATAGAACCAGAACTGATAATGTTGGACACAACATAGAACTAGATAAATGGGAAAGAATTATGGACTGTTGGTTAAAAGATAATTCTGTGCTATGACCTTGGAGAAAATGTTTATAAAATGAGGAACAAGTGGTACCTAAACCCAGCAAAACTTGTGAAAATATATAAGGAAAGAGATAATACGTGTTGGAAATGTAAGGTACAAGAAGGAACTTTCTTCCACATGTGATGGTCTTGTAAAAAGGCAAGGGAATTCTGGGGCAAAGTACAAAAAACATTGCAGGATTTTTTCAAATCACAGATACAATTAGAGTCTGAATTATTTTTGTTGGGAATGCCAAATAAACAAGCAAAATAATTAGATATAAAAACCAAACATTAACTTATAATAAATAAACATTTGCATGGCTTGTTAAACAGACTTATTTTTCTTTTTATGAAGTAGAGCTGAAGCATTATCTGCAGAGCCTACTGTAAACATTGTGTGTTGTTGCTAATAGATTTGTGTAAATGTCTAAGTGTCTCTTTGTTCAGAAACCATTATAAATAAAGTTATAAAGTTATAAAACCGTTGCCAATTTTTTTGTGACTCCAACAATGCATTAAGGGGACCCCTTTGGGATTGGGGCCCACAGTTTCAGAGGCAGTGTTCTAGAAGACCCTGGAAATAAGGAGCTGGAAAGTGTATAGATACAATACATTGAAAGCAGGCAGTCTATGAAAGAAGTGCAGGGTTAAGAGAGAATCTGGCTTGCCTTCCACATGCCCAAATCAACTCTAGAATAGCAGGGTCTAAACTCCACTTCCGTGGCTGGATTAGCAGTTAACCGAGGTGGCCTGATCAGGCTGGAATATGTATTTTCTTTTCAGACAAAGGACATCATGAATTTTTATTGTTGTTCTTAATTGCCTCCAAGTGGACTTTGAATTATGCTGATCTTATAACTTAGTGTTCTTGGCAAGATTTATTTGTTGTTGTTGTTCATTCGTTCAGTCGTCTCCGACTCTTCGTGACCTCATGGACCAGCCCACGCCAGAGCTCCCTGTCGGCCGTCACCACCCCCCGCTCCTTCAAGGTCAGTCCAGTCACTTCAAGGATGCCATCCATCCATCTTGCCCTTGGTCGGCCCCTCTTCCTTTTTCCTTCCATTTTCCCCAGCATAATTGACTTCTTCTAAGCTTTCCTGTCTCCTCATGATGTGGCCAAAGTACTTCAACTTTGTCTCTAGTATCTTTCCCTCCAGTGAGCAGTCGGGCTTTATTTCCTGGAGGATGGACTGGTTGGATCTTCTCGCAGTCCAAGGCACTCTCAGCACTTTCCTCCAGCACCACAGCTCCAAAGCATCGATCTTCCTTCGCTCAGCCTTCCCTAAGGTCCAGCTCTCACATCCGTAGGTTACTACAGGGAATACCATGGCTTTGACTAGGCGGATCTTTGTTGCCAGTCTGATGTCTCTACTCTTTACTATTTTATCGAGACTTGGACATTGCTCTCCTCCCAAGAAGTAAGCGTCTTCTGATTTCCTGGCTATAGTCTGCATCTGCAGTAATCTTTGCACCTAGAAATACAAAGTCTGTCACGGCCTGCACGGTTTCTCCCTCTATTTTCCAGTTGTCAATCATAAGATTTATTTAGGAGAGGATTATAATTCTCTACAGCTAAGAAAGAATATGATTTGCCCAAGATCACCTAAAGGGATTTTTATGGCGGAAGAGAAACTCTATCTTTGGTTTCCTGGACTAGTCCAAGACTCAGACCACTAGCTCCTTCCCACAAACTCTGCAAAAGCTTATATAAATGACATTGTGCAGGAAGCATTGAGAAATTGAGAAATCTGAATGATGCAAGAATTCTGCAATTATGATTTCCATGATATATATATATTGTGTATGTGTCAGGAGCGACTTGAGAAACTGCAAGCCACTTCTGGTGTGAGAGAATTGGCCATCTGCAAAGACATTGCCCAGCGGACGCCCGGATGTTTTGATGTTTTGCCATCCTTGTAGGAGGCTTCTCTCATGTCCCCACATGGGGAGTTGGAGCTGACAGAGAGATATCATCCACGCTCTCCCTGGATTTGAACCTCCGACCTGTCAGTCTTCAGTCCTGCTGGCACAAGGGTTTAACCCACTGAGCCACCGGGGACTTCTCATGATAGAATAGAATAACTTTATTGTCATTTATTTATTCATTTATTTATTATTCGAACTTATATGCCGCCACTCCCCTGGGGCTCGGAGCAACTTACAAGAATGGCTAAAATCTAACACAATTTTAAAACAATTTAAAACAATTTAAAAACAGCAATATCAAAAATCAAAGGCCTGTCGAAACAGGTATGTCTTACATGCCCTGCGGAAAGCTGATAAGTCCCGCAAGGCACAGACTTCAGGTGGCAGAGTATTCCAGAGCGATGGTGCCACTGCTGTAAAGGCTCTGCGTCTGGTTGCTGTTAGACACAAGGTCTTGACACTGGGAATTTCCAATAGATCTTGGTCCTCAGAACGGAGGGATCTCTGGGGTTGGTAGGGGGTGAGGCGGTCCCTCAGGTACATCGGCCCCAGACCATGCAAGGCCTTAAAGGTGAGTACCATCACTTTGAAAGTGATCCGGTGCTCAATTGGTAACCAATGCAGCTGTAGTAAGATTGGTGTCATTGTACTATTTCATAATTCCCCAGCACACATCACAAAACAACATGCCCATCCCCACACACTCCAACCACCACTGCACAGACCCCAATGCACAGACCATCAATGCAAAACCATGGAGTTCACTTTAGTTGCAGCAATAGGATAAAAGCTGTCTCTCAGTCTGCTTGTTCTTGTCTTTGTCTTCCTGCACCATCTGCCAGATGGTGATAAGTTTTTTAAAAAAGAATGTTATCATTGGGTTGTTGTAGGTTTTTTCGGGCTATATGGCCATGTTCTAGAGGCATTCTCTCCTGACGTTTCGCCTGCATCTATGGCAAGCATCCTCAGAGATAGTGACCTCTGAGGATGCTTGCCATAGATGCAGGCGAAACGTCAGGAGAGAATGCCTCTAGAACATGGCCATATAGCCCGAAAAAACCTACAACAACCCAATGATTCCGGCCATGAAAGCCTTCGACAATACAATGTTATCATTACTGCTTAAAAGAGTGCTTGAAAGTAACATATTGCTATGTAGGTAAGTATCCTATTGCAAAGAGGGAATGACCGTTCTAATACCACCGAATATCACCAATTTGTGATAGATTGCCACACCACTGACACCAATTTGTAAAAGTATCCCACTTCGCCAACTTGCACTGGATTTTTTTCAAACGCAGATAGATTTCTCTCACTAGGCTCCACCCACTTTCCACTCTCTCCTGCCTGGTCTCCTTGGCAACGCCACAGTGAATACAACCAGTTCTAGTTTTCAGCTACTGTTACCAAACAAATAGTTAAACAGTTCAAATACATATACCTAGTTTCAATAACTTCCTTACACCTTCCACCCAAAAAGAATTATTTTTGGCCATTTGGAGTCCCAAAATGGGCAAAAATAATTTTAAAAGGTTGCCTAACAGTACATACATAACATTATCCCTGAAATACAAACATATTATGGTTAAATACATATTATGAATTACATATACAAACCTTATATTGATCAGTTATCCAGTATCTTCTATGAATGTTGTATCAAAGTCTCATATTTCTAACATTTTTCATATAAACAATCTATCTAAACATTTCTATATTTATACATATATTTGTAAATATTCATTGCCTATTGCAAAACTTACATACCTACCACACTTTAATATAATGGGTTTATACCTTATACATATTGTATAAAATATATCCAGTTTACCACTGTAATGACATCATACATTTTCAAATCTGTAATAAATCAGGATACCATCTATAAAATATTATACTACACTATATTACACATACCTTTCTACACTAACACTTTTATTCTATGTGGTCTAACCTTTATAGAAAATAAGGGGTTTTTCTTTCCTTTTTCCTTTTACCCAATTCCAACTCTCCTTTTCCTAATACCTAGTCTCAAATTATAACAGGACAATACACCCCACACAGTTCCACATTCTTCTCTTTCTTCTTTTATCCCGGTCTTCCAATTATCAGGAACAGTTCTGCTTTTATAGAATTTTGAGGCTTGAACAAAGGCTTGTCTCCATGCAGCATCAGGTTGTAGTGGAATTCCTCGAACATCTTTTCTTGGCACTGAAGAGAATTCACTGTCCTTGGAAGAACGAACAAGAATACTGTCTTTCTTTATTGCAATTTTTCCACTGTAGTCTGGACGAACCTCCAAAGATGGAAATTGTAGCCTTTTCCTTTTATCACCACCAACATAGTCTGTGTATATTATTTGTCTTGTCAGTCCATCAGCTTGGCTTCTATTCTCCCTTTCTTCTTTGCTCAAGGATAAAGGAGATTCCTCTTCCGATATATGATTAGATCTTTTTTTTCTGCTCACTTTCTTTTCAGATGTAGACATATCGAAATGTTCAGGGTTAGTAAGGAAGAGTTGATCTACTATTTTACTCTCAGCAAAATGTCTCTCTTCTTTCAGACGAAGTGTAGAATGTTTGAGAGTCTTCTTATCTTCATCAAAAACTGTTGTAGTATACAAGCTTGCATCAGTCAAATTGTTGATGACAACTTTTTGATAAGTTTCACTTAGGTCCTTAACTTCAACTACAGTTCCAATCTTTAAAACTTCTTTTGTACGATCATCTGGAACTTTTATAGTGGATGAATCATGTTTAGAAGTCATCTTAACTTCAATTAGTCTTTCAGGTGTATGGATCTTTGTTTCACAGAAGACCCCTGGATATTCTGAACTCGCATCAGTTTCTACTGTCAAATCCAGTGTTTGCTTTTCTTCAGCTTTTTCTTTTGATGGTATTTCATTATCTTTGTCAAAAAGTTTGGTTGAGGTAATTCCTTTACGTGGAGCTGAAGGTAATACATCTTTTAAGGTCAAGGATTCCTCTTTCTCCTCAGAGTTTATCACTTGTCTTTCCAGACCTATCGTTACTATATTCTCTTCACTGGCTCTCAAATAATCAGTCACTGGAACCGGCTCTGCTGCAGGGCTTGTTCCTTGTTTGCATGGTCTCTTCTGGCTATACACTTCTGACTTTATATTTGAATCACCATCTTCAGCAATAAATCTATAGGGTTGTTCTTCTGCCGACTCTGGTGTAATCTGAGCCTGTGTGAACATAGGTCGTAGGGATTCATCCACTCTTTGTTCTCACAGAATCTCTCTGATTCCCTCTGTCTTAGCAACAATCTCGACCATTACAGAGCTGGATTCTGGACCCTCATCCAAATCAGGTTGAATGGCTAAACACATTGCTTCCTGAGTAGTGCTCCTGATGTTATGTTTATCTTTGTTACACAACATTCTCCAGTTTTGAATCTGCTTAGCTAGGTCATTACCAATTAAACATTGGTAAGGTATATCTGGGCTGATGGCAAAATCCCAGATTCCCTTCCATTCCTCATACTCGATTGGTAATGAGACTACTCCAGTTGGTATCGCAGGCCCCAAGCCCTTTAAACTAATTTCTGAGGTGGGATGTCTAAATTTATGAGGTACTGCTTCTGGATGAATGAGGCAGACATTCGATCCAGTGTCTCGCCACCCTTGCATATTCTTATTATCAATAGTAATGGGCTCTAAATAGTCTTCAGACAATGTATCTGACAGGATGAATAGACATTGTTTCTCCTTAGGCACTGCTTCCAAACTGCCTATAGACAAAGTATCTTGTTTTGCCTTGGGTTCTTCAGTCACTTTATTTACAAAGAAAGATGTTTTATCCTTTTTTAAAAGGGGACATTGATTTCTTAAATGATCTAATTTGCCACACTGAAAGCACCTCATTTTTCCTTCAGGCATGGCTTGGGTTATTGCTCCATGCCGCCTCCAGGTGGTGTTTTCTATCACAAGCCCTTTTCCTTGCTGTGTGCGCGCTTGATGTTGATAAAATGGCTGCTTATTTGGCTTTTTATCATTTGGCGAGTCATCTTCTTTCAATTCTTCTTTTAAGGTAATTAGTTGATCTACCATAACAGCTGCTTCTCCAGCAGTCGCTGGTTTTCGGTCCTGCACAAGCCAGCTATAATCTGCAGGCACCAAACAAAATAACTGTTCCAATTTCATTAGCTCTTTCAGTTGTTGATAATTTTCTACCTCAGAGGTTCTCAACCAACTGTCAAAGAGCTGAGCTTGCTTCGCGGCTACCTGAGCAAAGCTCTGGTTTTTTTCTTTCCTCAGAGTTCTAAATTTCAATCTATAAAATGCAGGTGTCAGTTGCAAATTTTGTTGAACGTGTTTTTTAAACAGATTATAATCTCTATGGGATTCCTCCGGCATGTCACCATAGATTTCTAAAAGCTTTCCGCTTATTTGAGGTCTCAAATAAGTCATCCATTTCTCCTCACTGACCTCAAAATCTCTACAACATCGTTCAAATGATATAAGGAACTTTTCGACATCGTCATCTTTATTAAACCTTGGGAATCTCTTTAAAAACATGTCTGTTGCCTCAGCTCTAGAGTTCCCTTCTTGGTTACTGATGTGTGGCTGAGATAATGTTAATCTCTGTCTTTCCAACTCTATCTCCATTTTCCGTAATTCTCTTTCTTGTTCCTCAGCCTGACTGGCTTTTTCTAATTCCAACCTCTTAAATTCTCTTTCTTTCTCCAATTCTAACCTCTTAAATTCTCTTTCCTCAGCCTGACTGGCTCTCTCCAAGTCCAACCTTTTCAATTCCCTTTCTTCACCCTGTCGTCTCTCCTCCATTTTTAACTTTTTCATCTCTATTCTATACTTGTAAGTCATCTCTGACACAGGCATTTGTTCTTGTTCATGTTCATGTTCAGAATCTGAACTTTCTTCATGGTATTCCTCTGCTTCTTCAGCCATCTTCTTCTGACGTCTGGTAGCCATTTTTGTAAAAATTTTACCTCACGATTTACTTCTCTGAGCGATCTTAAGGCACTAAACTTAGATGTTACATGTATCCCATGCTAGCCGCCAATTTGCAAAGAGGGAATGACCATTCTAATACCACTGAATATCACCAATTTGTGATAGATTGCCACACCACTGACACCAATTTGTAAAAGTATCCCACTTCGCCAACTTGCACTGGATTTTTTTCAAATGCAGATAGATTTCTCTCACTAGGCTCCACCCACTTTCCACTCTCTCCTGCCTGGTCTCCTTGGCAACGCCACAGTGAATACAACCAGTTCTAGTTTTCAGCTACTGTTACCAAACAAACAGTTAAACAGTTCAAATACATATACCTAGTTTCAATAACTTCCTTACACCTATCAACATAGTTACTTGTAACTATTTACCTTTTTAAGTTAATAAGAATGGTATATTTAAAAATGACTGAACAAGCAGAAGTGAAATTACAGTGTTTGTGTGATTAGTAAAAGCTTCTAGTTGCTTACTAAAGTAATCTCTAAAGGGCATTTTCCCACCTTTTTGATATTATTTTTTTTTCTCAGAAAAATATCTCCCACCAAAAGTTCCAACTGAGGGAAAAGCAACAAGTACGTGGCAAAGTTACTTTTTCAGCAACTTGACACTTGAGCTCATCAACATATCTTTCCATTTCTTTTCCCTGGATTGTGCCCTTCCATGGGGTGTCTCAGCAGTTGATCGGCCCTTTACTCTGATCCATTCCCAGCTGTTTACTCTGACCAATTCCCTCCCAGTCAATCCTGGCACAGATCCTAGCTAGCCTCTTTTCTGGCCAATCAGGGGAGGGAATGGGAAGTGGTCAGAACTGTATAAGCTGTATTGTAGTTCTCTGTATGATTATGCTTGTACATTTTGAAGCAAATTGCTTATACTTGCATCCTTTTGGGCCGAATTGTAATAAACCTCTGTGACTTATCTTCAACATGGCAAATTGGTTTCTCTGTCCTGTCCTATCTGGTTTAGCATACACTCACCAGGCACGGCTTCTCTAACCATGGTCCTAGCTAAATCACTACAATGCAACTGCAGAAGAGCTCTCCCTCTTCTCGTGTACCATGACAGGGAAGCCTACAGAAGATAGGCATTTCTCTTTGTTATAAACCCATCAACATTCAACAGCTGCTTGCTGCAAGTAGAAGTCAGTGAAAGAGTTTCAAAAAACAACATAACCATAAGATTAACAAAACAAAATATAAGCATAAAAATTGATGGCAACAATTTTTATGCTTATATTTTGTTTTGTTAATTTTATGGTTATGTTGTTTTTTACTTTGTATGTTTTGTGATGTTACCTGGGAACCGCTCTGAGTCCCCTCGGGGAGATGGAGCAGTATATAAATAAAGTTTTTATTATTATTATTATTATTATTATTATTATTATTATTATTCATGGTAATTACTTTCAGATATTTATCTCTTCTCATAAAACACATCTATGCATGAAATGAATAGTTAATCATATTATGGCATCCTGGACGAGTCTCCCCCAACATGGTTGTGGAGTCCTTCAGCCTTGAGTCAGCAGCCACTTACTGACTGACTGCTACTGGGGTCCATGTCCTCCTCCCTACCTTTTTCTCATTTCACAAAAATTGGAAAAATTGACAGTCCCTTTCTGGCTGGCTGAATGCTGGCCAACTTTCCCACCAGAGAGAGCAGATCAGGGGCCGAAGTGCTGGTGGAGGAGAAGCAGGAGCTGTTGCCACCAAAAAAGATGCCAGGTAGACCACAGCAATAATGCCACCATGCAGAAGGAGAAGGATGAACACTACCCAGCTGCTGTCTCATAGCACAGACTAGCTTGGGAGAAGTGGTGCCACTACTGCCAAAACTCACACATTTTTGTCTAATCAAAAGACAACACAGCATAGTCTTCAGCATCAAAGCTTTTGCTGAGAAGATGAACTAAATGCCAAGCAGTCCCTGGGCAGCATCAGAGTAGAAGGTGATACTGGCAAAGATCTCTCAGAGACAATGACCATAACATCGTGGCTAACACTTGCAGTCCCCAAGTTATAGACTTATTCTCAAGTTGCATTTGTAAGTCAGAACAGGTACATTTAAGTGTAACTCCAACCAAAATGCTGTCTATGCTTCTGTTTACAATATTTCACCTCACTTTCTGTCCCTTGAACATTGGATTTTGAAAAAGTAGGCTTCTTATGGAAACAAGGATTGGTGATAAAGCTTCAGTGGAGACACCTTTCCCCATGATAATGCTTTCAGGAGTGGAATTCCCTTCCAAGGAGTAGATTTTTCTCACTTCCTGTTGTCTCACCCCATTTGTTACTGAGTTGTTTGTAAGCTGGATGCTTGTAACTGCCTGTATTGCACAAGGGGAGACAAAGTAAACCCCCTTCTGAAGATTTTTTTAAAACCAGGCAATCTCTATGATTAAGTTTGTCTGTTCACCTGCTCAGCAGAGAAAGAAAAGTTCACATTTGCACAACACATCATAGGAATGGAATGGGAGATGCATGAATCAGGAGGAGCCAGGCATGTAGCCAGGGGGGGAGCTTAAGGGGCTTCACCCCCCCCCCCCCCAAATTCTCATGTTGGTCCATGAGAAGGCCTTACTGGTACATTATTTAAACTGTTATGTTTATTCATATCATGATCTGATCACCATGCTCAATATATCCCATATGCATGGGGGTATTGGGGTAACGATACAAAAGGTTTGCTAGGGTAGACCCTCTTTCACTCAGACTCAGCCGCCCCCCCCCCCGAATCAAACTCAGCCCCTCCCAAATCAAAATCCTGGCTACAGGCCTGGGCGGAGTTAAATATAGTACACATCAAATACAATGTACAAGTATTGCAATACTTGGAGTAAGCTAAAGTAGACAAGAATGGGACATTTTGAGTCAGATAATGCCAGTATTTTAGGCAGGAAATGAAAAGATAAGATGAAATGAGGTGGTATCAATAGTGAAAAAAGACAAAGGAAATCAGTCAAAGGATGTAATGCAACATATGACTTAATTACGGCAATAAGACTTCAGGAAAAGCAGTCAACATGACCTTAAACAAAGTTTATGCATCAACCATACACCAAAACAGGACTTATTGTTAATTGTAGGCAAAAGGAAAGAAAAAGGAATAGAAGCAAAGACTGCAGGAAATCTTTGCTTAGACTCTAGAAATAAGACCGACTAAACAAATTTTGTGAGACCAATAGTTTATTCATTAAAGCGCATTGTTCAAATAAATAAAAA